TTGCATTTTCTACAAACAGCAGTTTACTTGCTTATTCAGAATGAACATTTAAAAAAATAATGTTTTATTTATTATATGATCTGGTAAGCCTTTAAAGTAAAATCATGATCCTTATAGATTATATTGCTGTGTATTGAAAAAAAGGCTGTATTTGTACTGCCTTCTAATTAAAAATACTGTCTTAATGATATGTACGGAAGTAAACGGCATTACTATCAAAATTGTACAGAATGCGAATACAAAAATTCTTTGACTTTTGCATAACCTGCTAGTCAAGAGACCACCAACATCTTCGCAACTGAAATAACGGTATAAGAAAGTGAGTATCCTCGATATATGAAATTTTGTGGTAACTACGCTTGCGTAGAGCTTATATGCGTAAACGTGCAAAATTCTACGTGAGAGTGCAAAATCGTTTTATTAGAATGTTCCTGGAACTAGTGACAACTCCAAATTACCGGTTTTACTTCGTTAAGGGTAAGGGAGCCTTGAAAAATCATTTCAAGATCGTGCATGATTTATAAATATCAGCATTGAGCCATCACCTCCAACATCAAAAAGCCTCCAGACGGTCTTTTATAAGTAGTCCGCGCAGACTATTTAAAAAGTGAACCAGTTGTGCGCATGAACCCAAAACCTTTTATAAAAGTAATTGTAGGGAAGTAAAAAAATAGCTATTTGAAAAAAAAAAGTGGTAGGGAATTAGGCACTGAAAGCTAACTTGATAATTTCTAATGATACTATAATTTAAGTTTTAAAAAATATTAAAAAGACCTATTTTCAGATTAAAATATAACTATTTATTGTATTAATATACATTGATGAACATGAATGTTTTATTTTTTTGCAAAGATAAATTTTAAAAAGGAAATCAAGTGTTTACCAGTCCTTTTTTTTAAAAAAAAATGTTCATTCTTTGGTTTAAACGGATTAAACGAGAATATTCAATACGAACGGGAGAAAGGCCGCTAACGGTCCGAGGCGCCCATATAAATTTTGATGATGTTGAAACGAGAATATTGTACAACAGTAAAATTGGCGTTTTAGTTATATCAGTTAAGCCACGGCAACTCTTAGAAACTTCTTAAATAATTTTAAAACTAGGTGTTCATAAATAATCTCGTTTCTTAAGCAGAGAACAGCAAACCGAACGTTTCTAATGTTATTTTTTGGGGCGCGGATATTGCTTCAATAGTACGAAAGCATGCATAGACAGTTAGCATTAGGATTATGTAAAAACTAAAATAAAATCTGGAAACTTTTCTAAATATTTCATAATTATAAGACAAAAATGATATTGTCATAATAAAATACATTTGAAGGAACTGTAAATAAAAAGATAATCCATGTTTCACTAACTAGTGAGAAATCACAGACTTGTGAGAAAAGATAAAGGTTTCCTAAATTTTTGATTATTATTAAGTAGAAATGATATTATTTACCATTTAATATTTTTTTTTTATTTTTGCCATAAATTCAAAAATATGTCTATGCCTGGCACATATTTTTGAATAATTCTGGGAGAAAAAAAATCAAATTGGCATTCCTTCAGTTCAACATTTGTTTTCGGCATTAATTAGTGTACCCGGTCGATTTACATCGTCTGTCTTTTTACCACCCCTGATATTTTGTCCTGCAGATGAAGTTGCATAATGTGGCACCGATATGCATCAAAGTTTAATACTATTTGCAATTTTATGGTTATTTTTATTTAATCAGAACCATATGCCAAAAGATAACATCTTCATTTTCTTATAATAACATGCTATTATCAACTCGGAACATTTCTGAAAGCAATGGCCGTTTTTGGCATAAACCCACTATTTATCGAATTTATTATTGAAGAAGATAGGAACGGTATCATTGTTAATCATGATAACATTTTCACTTCAGAACAAAGTTGTTTTTATTCTATTTTAGACCAGATAAAATTCCATAAAATTACAAAATTTCCCATACAATATAAATTTCACGATTGCTATTTATATCAGATATCAGCTATAGATATCTAGTGCAAATTCAGATATTTTGGTTTTCTTATTAACTTTAAAAAATTTTATAAACTTATTACCACTTTTCAGTTAATGGAACTATGAAAATAGGATTTAAAAGTAGCATCGAGGCCGTTTTTCGATGGCTCTGTATTCTTTCTTGGAGAATAATATGCCCTTTTCGCCGTGAGTTTGTAAAAGTTACTAGTGACTGCTAGGTCATGTTTAGCCTATCTTTAGTCAGAGCCTTCTATGTTTGTTATAAATATGGCAACAAGGCACCAATATGGTGAAAAGCCTCAGTTTTGAGAAACTGAAAAATGTTTTTATCTAATTTTTTGTCTTAAAAACTTAATACAATGCTACATTATCTGGGCACATAAACATTTGATTTGGCACTAATTTTGATGATTTTAACCTAAGTGAGAAAGTGACGCCGAATTGGTGATTTTAAAGAGAATGCAGTAATTTTTAAAGTATGAAAATTATTTGTTTTTTCTAAAGCCCAGATAATTCTTCACGGCAGGATGGTATATATAGTAAAAAATTAAAACTTTGCTTCAAGTGTAAGGCACTTTAACTGTAACTCTTTTGAAGAAAGTGCTTCGAAAAACCATGATAAAAAAAAGTTAAAAAAATTAGTAAACATTTTCTTTCTTCTTTTCAGCCAAACTCTGCCACAAGACTTGTTTCGAAGAAAGTAAATGTTCTGAGATTGGTAATGATGCCATTAAGTGTTCTTGCAATTCATCTCAGTACTATCTAAGCAATGAATGCAAAGGTGATGTTGCCATTTTTATTTATTCAATCTTTATTTTATTTGTAATTTTATAATGATGTTCCTTAACACATTGCTGACCGGCAACTTTTCTTAAAATTACCCCATGTGCCCGACTATTGTTTTGAAAGCGGATGTGGAAGTAAAACAATTTCAATAAACTTTACAAATTTTTAATGCCGTATGATGAAAAGTTAACAATCTCCTATGTGTAATAGTACACCATGATTGATGCTTGATATGAGTGGAATATGTTTTGCAAATATATTCGGTTTCATAAAGTTAAAATAAATTGGTAGAGAATTAAATAGTAAAACTTGAAAGTAAGGAAAACTACGCCCACTTTTTAAAACAGTCACCACGAGATAACTGCTAACGAAAACACGAGTTAATTCGTGACCGGTCACCAACGTTTGGCCACGAAAACACGAGTTAACTCGTGACCTGTCAGCAATGTGTTAAATAACAATTTCGTGCGAAATGACATGTAGATGGCGATGTGGTCAGCATTGCGTATTCACCTCCTTTATTTCCCAAACTAGCTGGTACGCAATAATCTGACACTAGGTTAGCTTAATAATTCGTCACCGGAGTTAGAATCTTAGTTTTTCATAATTACACCTCAGTACCCAGAGTTATAGTGATTGTTTGTTTTATAGTGGTAGTTAATTTATCATAAAAACAGTAGAAATTTGCCTAGTTCAGCAACCACTTAATTGCTATAAATTTTCAACCCATTCTTTACATAACTATTTATATGTCTTTCACGTAACGAATTATTGTGGTAAACAGGAATGTTTATCTTAACATTTAATGAACGCGTAATACGTTTTATGACCAAAATTTATGGACCACTATAATAATTTTTTAGGATCACTAGACGTACTAATTATTTATAACAATTGTGATATCGTGACTTTGAGCACAAAAATAAAGCAAAAATAGTGACTTTTAAAGTTATTGTGGTGATCAGAAATGCTTTATGCTAATGTTTGATGAACATGTAATACACTTCAGGACAAAAATTAATGCACCACTGCACTAATTTTAAAGAGCAAGAAGACACACTTAGTAACTATAACCACTGTGATATTGCGATTGTTTTTGTTACAAAAAATGAGTTCCGTTAAAGCAATTAATAGGTATTTGCATGAATTTGAAAAACATTATCAAGAAATGTTGTATAGATTGAAAATTTAACCTTTACAAGTACTACTAACTTGTACTCCCAATGGGAGAGTACATGAGGGTACATGAAGACGACTTAATTTGAAGTTTATTAAAAAAAAAAAAGATTTTTATTGATTTTTTTTTTCAAAAAGCAAGTTTAAGATTCTTCGAGGAAATATTTTATTTTAATCTTTCTTAATGACAACATTAATTCATTTTACCAAGTTTTTTAGATTTTTCAGATTTCAATTGGTTCTAAATGACAATTTCTGATTGTTATCGAAGTCTTTAACACGTTCACACCGGGGTGAGCCACCAGTGGGTCACGCTAGATTGTCTCACCGGACGGCGGACCAGAGTAAAAACTGTTAACAAATAAATTTAACTTTTTAGTTTTTTTTCCGGGAATAATAAAAATCCATAACTACCAATTGTTTTTAACGGATGCAATTTTTAAATTGAATTGCTTCTTCGCCGTGATAAGTTTCCTTACCGTGAATTGTTATTGTTGAGAATAGTTTAACTCCTCCCGAATATTATCTAATATGGAAATAGGTCTTCTACCAGTATTTTCTCTTTTCCGTCTCGCTTTCAGGGCAACACCCGGCGTGAACGTGTTAAAGTTTTTAATTGTGTTTGACAACGAATTACGAATTCGTAATCTTAACGCCAGATTATCATTAAATAAAAACTCAAAGATTACAAACGTTATGACACGAGAAATTTAAATGAGAGTTAGGAATTGCAAGTCTAATTCAATTAAAAAAGAAGTTGCAATTCCTATTGTCTAGATATGAACAAATTTAATACTGTTCATACCTAGAACCATAATTGCTGTTGTCAAATGTTGTTAAAAATCTATAAAATCTTAACAATTAGATGATTTAAAAAAAGTTTTATAAGTTTTAGTCGTTATTTATTATTTCCTTCCAGTAGCATGAAAACATTTAAATATAGTTCTTTTTTCAAAATCAACATCAAAAGACGAAAACAATTCTGTAATTTTTTGTTATGGAAATATTTGTTTGCTACTTTTCATTTAAAAATAGTTCTGCAATTTTCTGCTATATAATCTAACGCAATCTAAAAGGAAGTGCTCAAATAATTTTATGTTTTCATTGTGTGATATAAAAAATAAATCACTAATATCGATAGCAAACATCAAAACATTTACCCGTAATTTTCAAACCATTTAGAAAAATAAGTAAATGAGACACCTCAGCACAGTTATGCACAAGTAAGTTGCTTGTATAGCTTATTTATACCACAAAAAAAGTAACATTCTCTTTTTTTTAAAAAAAGGAAGACTTTTTATTTAATATGTTTTCCTAATTTTCTTTTAGACGCAAGCTGTTTGTTTCAAAGCCTAAGAAGTAACTGTCAACGAGAATGCCCTAACTCCAATATGAAACGTGAACGTGGAATCTGNAAAGCAGTCAAGGGTTGCGTTTTAAAGCTCTTATTATGACAAAAAACACTTAAATGGCAATACAAAATAATTAGAGCTGGAACATCTTAATGAGCTCTCTCCCCGTAGCCGTGAGTGAAGTGAATGTAGAGGGAGTCTGCTTAACTACAGGTGGCGCTGCATGGCGTATGCAACATGCAACACTCTGTCATCCTGACTTAGTCGGTCTCCGACTAATTGCTTTAAAGGTAATTATTAAACATCACAATAAAAAGAAAATTTTATTGACAGAAATATTTTGACAATTGAATTGAAATCTAAAACAATAAATTTATGAAAATTTAAATCTAAACTAATTCTAAATCTATTCAATTTTAATATAATATTTAGTTGATAGAGTAAATAAAGAAAAAATGCACTTTTCAAAATTATTAGGCAAATGAATTTCTCTTCAACCTATAAAACTAGCAGAAAATAAGTAATAAAAAGATATTTTCAAATTTCTAAATCTACAATTTTTTTATCTCACTTCTGAAAAATGTGATCAATATGAATATTTTGATCATTAAAATAGAAATTTGTTATTAATATTCAGTTAAATATGATCAATTAATATTTGATTTATGCAATAAAATCCAAAATGAAAATAATAAATTTTAAAAAAAATTCGAAAAATCTGTGTAAAAGTTCTTGCACTAATAAAATTTTTAAAAAATCGAAAGTCTGTGCAAAAGTTCTTGCACTAATAAAATTTTTTAAAAATCGAAAGTCTGTGTAAAAGTTCTTGCACAATTGAAAAGTTTATGGATCTTCCCACGGTTTCATTAAGTCTGCTGATGTGGATGTGACCGATGGTCCTTCTCCCATACCGATCTTGTGAACATTATATCTATCGTTGGGTCTAATTTTTGTCACTGTGTATGGACCGAAAAATTTTGGTCGAAGTTTCAAACCTGTCCCAATTTGGGTTCGTTTGATGGCAACTCTGTCGTGGAGCTTATACTTCGTTGCTGTCCTTCGTCTAGTATTATAATTGTGCTTGGTTTTTTCTTGCATCTCAAGTATATTGCTTTTTGCTTCTTTTCGCATTTGTTGTTGATTTTCAAGTAAAATATGTATGTGTTCTTCCTCGAGGATTTTCTTGATGTGCAGGTCTTCTTTATTTCTCATCTTAACCCCTGTTAGGAGCTCGAAGGGTGTAAACTTTGTTGGTGAAGAAACAGTGCTGTTGATTACACGTTGGACTGCTGGTACATGCTTGAACCATTTGCTGGGGTTGTCAAGGGATAATTTGGTGATGGCTGAGATTATCGTAGCATGAAATTTTTCCACCTGTCCACTCCCTCGAGGTTGACCTGTGGTGATTGTGACATGATCAATTTGTTCGTCTTCTCAGTACTTCTTGAATTCTATTGAGGTGAATGCGGATCCTTTATCTGAGATGATTCTTTTTGGATTTCCAAAAGTAATTTGTTGCAGTTGTAGTATATCCAAGGCATCTTTAGCTGATGTTGTTTTGACTGGATAAATCCATAAGAATTTGATGAAAGCGTCTACGACGGTGTAAATGTATTTGTAATTCTTATTTGCACTGGGTAGAGGACCAAGAAAGTCTATGTGGTATGTATCAAGAGGAATGTCTCCTTTTGGGATGGGATGTAAGAAACCTTCTTGTTTTCCTACTTTACGTGATGAAAGTATACATGGAATGCAATTGGAAATTACGTTTTCAACAGTCCTTCCTATATTTGGGAACCAAAATTGTTGTTTAACCATGTCTTCTGTCTTGTTGATACCAAAATGGCCTTTGTTGTGTTGTAGTTGAACTATTTGTTTTTGCATATCTTGAGGTATGACGAAGAGTTCTTGATTGTTTACTACTCTGTATAGGATGTTGTTTTTGTACTTGTAGTCTGTAGTTGGAGAGTGTTCGATTAGTTGTCTTATGCCTTGTGTGTATTCATCTTTGGCTTGGGCATGGCAGATTTTCTGGGTTGTTTCGTCAACTTGAATTGTCATGACAGGATATCGGCTAAGAGCGGCGACATGCTTCATCTGTTTTCCAGGTCTGTGTATTATTTCGTAGTCGAAATCTTCTAGTAACATTGCCCATCTAGCAATTTTAGGTGGCAGTTCTTTTTTTGACATAGTCTTTTGAAAAGTTTGGCAATCGGTGAAAATTTTGAACTTGGTGCCTACGAGGTAAATGCGAAATTTTTTAAGTGCTTGCACTATAGCTAAAACTTCTAATTCGTATCATGAATATTTTTCTTCTCGTGGGGATGTCTTGTGGCTCATATAATGAATGGGATGTAGGCTGTCATCTAAATCAGATTGCATTAAAAGAATTGCGCCAACTCCTTTTGACGATGCATCGCAATGAAGCTGTAAAGGTGAGCCCTGCTTGAAAAGGTGTAGCACAGGTTCAGTTGATAAGGCTTGTTTCAGCGTTTGGAAAGATTGTTGCTGTTTTGGGCCAAAATGAAAAGGAATGTTGTCTCTAAGTGTAATAATTGTCTCTTAGTGGTCGTGTAATAATTGCATAATCCTTAATAAATTTTCTAAAATATCCTGTTAGGCCTAGGAATGATTGAACATCTTTAGCTGTTTGGAGCTTTGGAAAATTTAAAACAGCTTTTATCTTTTCTGTTGAAGGACTAACCGTACCATTTTCTAAAATATGTCCAAGAAAGGTAATTTTTCTTTTCAGGAAATTGCATTTTTTGAAATTAAATTCAAGCCCATAGTCGGAAGCTACTTTGAAAACTTTCTGGAGTTTTTGAAGACCTTCGGACTCATCATCTGATGGAACAATCACATCTTCCAAATATAAAATCAATGCCCCGTCTTCTAAGAGTTCTCGAAAAACAATTTGTATAAATCGTTGAAATACTGCTGGTAAATTGGAAAGGCCGAAATGAACTTTGATGATTTCAAATTGTCCATCTGGTGTCACAAACGAAGTGTATTTGCGGCTTTGAGGATGAATGTCTACGTGGTGAAGCGCATTTCTTAAGTCCAGATTTGTAAAGACTGAAGCACCTTGTAGTCTATCGAAAATGTAATCCATAATTGGGAGTGGAAATCTTTCTGTAATTAACTTCTTATTTAAACATCGATAATCAATCGCAATGCGAGTTGAGCCATCTTGTTTTTTACATAAGACTATTGGAGCAGAATAATCTGAAGTGCTTTCTCTAATTATACCTTTGTTTAACATTTCTTTAATTTGCTTATTTACTTCTAATTTCTCGAAAATAGATAGGCGGCGTGGACGCTAATGGACTGGCATTTCATCTTGTAGAAAAATTTACATTTCATAATTAGTGTTCTTAATTTTATTTGGCCTATAAGATTTAATAAGTTGGTCAATTTCGGCACGCGTATCGGATTTTAAATGAGATAAATCAACATCGGCGTAAACTATATTTATATTAGATAAAAAATAATCCGCATTTTCAATAAACGCATTTTTAATCTCTTTATTTTCCGGATTTGAAGAATTAAAATAGTTTGTTTCTGTTTCGGCTGACGAAAATATATCGGTTTCGGTTTGTTTATTAACATCGGAAAGAGCACTCTGATCACGTGATTGGGCAGTTTCCGCTTTCTTATTAGGCGCAGACGTCATTGAATCAAACTTATTTATTTGTTTTCAAATTAATTTTGAGTAGAAGTACTTTTGCATTCGCATAACAAATTTTCGGTTTCAGTTTGAAAAGGGAGTGGTTCATTATCATTCTCCATCTCAAAGAATGACTGACCTTCGTCTAACTGACGCGACTGTACACGCTCGTCAGATCTATTTTTAGAAACTGGGGGAGAAAAATTATCGTTTTCTGTATGAAAGAAGTAGTAATTTTATTTTCATTTTTACACAGAAGAAGTAGTAAATGAAAGAAGTAGTAATTTTATTTTCATTTTTACACATTGAGTTTAATTCGAAAGTATTTTGTTGTTAGTTTTTATGCAAAGGAAATTTTGTTTTAGAATAAGGAGAAATCATATTTTCTTTTGAAATTCGATCATATTCTTTTTTTTGCTTCATTTAAATCATCCGAAATATTTGGGGGAGTTATTAAATCACAATAAAGATTTTTACAAACGGCTGCCGTTACTGTTATGGGATTTTCACGAAAACTTGGAAGCGCTAATTTTACTTTTAAAAGTTCAGCTTGTACTTCATTTCCGAAAGCACAAGTTAATTGAACAGTTCCGACACTTATTGTTTTGTGGGGGAATTAAGTGTTCTCGTACGCAAATAATATTGGCTCCCGAATCAACTAACGATTGAACGACTAGTTTATCATTAACGAAAATGTTTTCATATTGTAGTTCATGCTTAGATTCATTAAATATTTTAGCTTCGACTTTGCAAACAGGGTCTCGATTTGAGTTAAATCTACGATTTGAATTAGTTTCGTTTCTGGGAAAGCTTTAGCGGGAATTATTTCATGATTGGTATTCTGTTGGATTTCTCTCATATTAGAGGATTGGTATTCTGTAGGATTTCTCGGAGATCATTTTCTGAAATGTTTAATAAAACGTGACTTGCTTTTGCTTTTTCGCCTAAAATATTTATCAATATTTCAGATTTCATTTCATCCTGTACTCTTTTTGTGGTAAACGAACGTTCTAGAGATTGAAAAAATAAGCTGTAGTTCTCCGTTCTTTTCGGCACAGGCATGCTAAGTGTTCGGACGCTTCTAATAATACTTTCGATATCGGGACCATCTTCACTTGCGTCTGAATATCTAGATGAGTTCAGGTTGGCACTAGGAGTGTTTCGAAGGTTTGCTAATTCGATTTGGCGTTCTAGCTGTGCGAGTTTAATTTTTTCTAAGTCTATCTTAGCACTTTCGCTAATTTTTTCTAATTCTATCTTAGCACTTTCGTTATCTTCGCGGACTTTCGTTCTTCGACGGTTGATGCAACTCGATTTTTAACGAAATCCACGTTCACTTTGAATACATCACTTGATTCAATTAAGCCTTTTAGGGTAATTAACGTAGCGTTTTCCGG